AAGATGAGCACTAGACAGGGGGTCTCGAATGGAGCAATAAAGTCTATGGGCAGTATTTTCAGCGCCATTTGTTGGACAATTGTCACAATGGGGCATGAATGAGTCCGTTCGGTGGTTGAGTCTTATAAAAGCGCCACCTGGGTATTTTGGAAAGTAAGTTGACTCAAGCTTCATGTTACATAACATTGTTTTGGTACAAGGCATGGTGCTGTAAGACATCCCTTCGGACGCCTATGAACATTCTCCGTCTTCATAAAACTTAACAGTTCCTCCAAATTCGGTAGGTGGAGTACAGAGTGGATGAAAATGTCTGAGTTGTCCATCACCTTTTTCATTTCTATGAAATTCAGAAGGAGTCTAAAGCCACCAACACATGTTTCGAACTCGCATTGGCCGCGTCTTGTTTAAAATTGGCTTCGGATTTCAAGTCCCTCGAGCTAGCAAAGTTTTAGTCCCTACCTCAGTGTAAATGACGCGTTGTTTTAAAATAATTCACGAGTGGATTTCATATTCCCCGACTTTTGGAAAACATCTTCTCCGAAGTGGCGGTTCTGCAGCTTCCAAAATACTCCTGTACTGCATATTCCGTCCCACCTTAAAGGTTATCTCTATAAGAAGTAAAAGCTCAAATGTTCATTCATTTCCGAAGCTCATGTCGGCGGTGCTCTTCTTGAATATACTTTCAACATTAAAAAGAGACGCTACAAAAAATCTTAGTCGTTAGGTGCTTCTTACTAGTCCAACTGCTGAATATTCTTGTCGCGCCATCGATTTATTTAAGATGGTTTGTGGGTCAAACGCAACCTCGTAGAATTTACAAGATCATGGAACACAGAGAACTGCACGATCGGTCTACACGGGAGAGAGGTTTCGCATCACCAGTGGGATTAATACTTGCAATCTCAGAGCAGTTGACCAACGCTTTGGGACAACCGGCCACGATTGCACAGATGGCTGTTCAATGAAATAATGCATAAACAGGAAATCTCTCGATTGCTGAATATTGCACAAAATCTTCTTCATGAGCTGTGCGCGAACCCGCGTACCTTAGTGGATAGGTGAGTAAAGATGCGCATACACCACCACCTAACAGCAGTAGGGCCACATAATGTAGGGAATTGGGCATCAGAGTGCCAAAATGACTACAAAGGTTGTCATTCCGCTATTGGTACACTGCCTGATAAACAGTCAGAAAGCCTCCTAACCGTAATGAACGTCGCCTACGAGAACGAAAGTGTTTGGGGTAGATAAGCTGCTTCAGAAATTCTTAGAAATGGAGAAGGAAATGGGTAATTCGATAAAAGAAGCGGCAAACATCAAGGTCAAGGTCAAGGCGCGCAGCTCAATTTCAAAGATAAGTGAAGCTCT